AGGATTGCTGTGAGCCTGAGGCCAACCTGGGCTACAAAGTGAGTTTGAGCCCAGTCTGAACTGCAGAGTGACATCCTATCTCAAAAACTAAAAAATTGGGAAGACTGAATAAAGATCACCCAAAGGGCCCCTGAGTAAAGGAGGTCACCTGAAGCTGCATATGCAGCTATGCAAAAATCTCTGCAGAACAAATTACCCTCTCTTGCTAGCACAAGCTCCCTCCTACAGGAATGGGCTGGTAAACTTGCATCACCAGCAGGTGAGATCTCTTTTGTGGCTGCTTCGGGTCAGACACACTACTTCCCAAGTGTTCTGAAAACAAACTCTGTCTGTCCAACTTATCAAATAATCCTCTCAATAGGAACAAATGTCAGCCCTGGACACAACTCTGTGTGATTCCAGGCAGGGGACTCAGCCTTTATGAACCTCTACCTCTCTTTTGTTGCATTCCACAGGCCATGGATGCATGGGAACCAGCACAGGATGGGAGTTGCATGTTCTGAGTTCCCAGGACTCCTGAGCTACCATCTTTACCAGTGGGAAGTCTCAGCCCTCTAGTGTGTAAGTTGTTGATGTTGACATTGTGGGTGGGCTCTACTGAGTGTATTAAGAAGAGTGAAAAGCAAGCTTTGCAGCCCGCAGTGCTTAGCTTCTTAGTGAGCCTGGCCACCTATACAGAAGGCGAAACTTGCTTTTGTGGCTTGTGGCGCAGAAGGGAGGATGAGGAGGACAAAGCTGGTGGAGCCAGGATGGCATCTGCTGTATTTAATTTCTCCTTCCCACTAAAGCTAATACTCACAGTGATCTGTCAGATAATTCTAAGGACTGCTTGCACTTTTCCATTCATGAAGACTCCATATGGCTTCACCTCCACACTGCAACCTTTCCTTTTAATGGTCTGACCTCTTTTATGGTTTGCTTACCAACCACCATGGCCCTGGTGACATAGATATGAATGAGCTCGAGTGCATATCTGACCCTGCACTTCAATGAATGGAGTAGGGTATGTACAAAGACATCTTTGTGGTAGAATGGCTTTCAAGGCTCCAAGGATCCTGTCTCCTGGTATTCATAGACTTGGGTAAGTTCTTCCTTTCCTGAGTTGGGTTCACTTCAAGAGACTTGCTTTTATCCAGTACCATAAGGAAAGGAGATAGGTTGTCTTTTCCATTTTTACTTTCAAAGAAAAAAATTTATAGCTAGCAAATATCTTCTACCAGAATCTCACCTTTCCTCGCTTTGCTGGTTCAAGCTACTACATGGAGAGGCTCACAAGGAACTGAGGGAGGCCTCTAGCCACTGCAGCCATGAGGAACGGACAGGCTCAGTCCAACAGATGGCTGCCTGCAGACAGGTCTTCAGAAGCCACTGGCCACAGATGATGGTAGTCTCAGGAGAAAGCCCAAAGCAGAGAACCCAGCTAAGCCTCACCTGGTCCACAGAAGCTCTGAAACAGTCAGTAGTTGTTTTGTTTTGATGTATCTGTGATGCAGCAATAGATAACTAATGTACATCTAAACCACTATAATTTTGGTATAAATACGGCATGGCTGCAAGACAAGAACCAAGATCTCCCTCCACAGAGAGGATGACACAGTTTCTGACAATAGCCTTGCACATGTGGTCTTAATACTTAATGTCTTTGTGCTGAACCCTTGTCCTTCTTTAGTGAAATGGCAGTTTGGTGCTCTCGAAAGTCCACATTAGCCTCCAGGAAGTTCAACTACCATTGAGTGTTGGAAGGAAGTAAGGACCGGGATGGAATCTTGGGTAGGAATCACATTTTTTGGTACTGAACTCGCCGACTTGATCATTATGGTTTCCTTACTTTCTTTCTCATTTTTTCATGAATTCTGGATCCCTGCATCACGACCACTCCCACTACCGATTGCCCAGAGATCTCTTGTGCTTGTAATAAAGTTCTGGAGCAAGTCATCCCAGAGAGGTTCCCTGAGGTGGGGCTCCTTCCCTTCCCTAACACACAAGGAGACATTGCGGTCAAGCTGACAGCAGGTTGTACTACATAATGGATTTTGCTTTTTTTCTCTTTCTTTCTTTCTTTCTTTCTTTCTTTCTTTCTTTCTTTCTTTCTTTCTTTCTTCTTTCTTTCTCTCTTTTCTTTTCTTTTCTTTTCTTTTCTTTTCTTTTCTTTTCTTTTCTTTCTTTTCTTTCTTTTCTTTTCTTTCTTTTTTGTGGAACCGGGGATTGAACTCAGGCCCCTGTGCTTGCCAGGCAAGTGCTTATTCTACTGAGCTATCTCCCCGGTCCCTAATAATGGATTTTTCAATAGCACTTGCCCAGGGGCAGGATCCTGTCTCAGTCGCTAGCTGGCCACAACAGCAGAACTATTCCCTGCACACTTTTCTGAGTGTCAGCTCTGGGGGCCTGGCCCTAGCTCAGTTCTTTAAGTGGCTGCTTCCCCAAAGCTGTCAGGCTCAGGTGGCTGTGGTTTGATCCCCACAACTCAAGCCAGCCAAACCTGCCCTGAAGGCATTCGGAGCAGAAGAAAAAAAAAAAAAAAAAAAAAAACACCCTTCTGAGTGTCAGCTCAGCTGTGAGATACTTGAAGCAGTAATCAGGTGGGGGCTTAACTATCATTATTTGGGTAGGGCTTGACTATCATTATTTACAAAGATTTCGTTTTGGTTTTTTTTTGTTTGTTTTTAATTTATTTTGTGTGTGTGGCCAGCTCAGCCCACCAGGGGGTGGGGCTGGCTGGTATGTGGGGCTGGGGGATTGAACCGCAGTCCCTGTGCTTTGCTAAGCTTAGCTTGTTCTAAGTAGGTGCTTTAGACCACTGAGCCATCTCACCAGCCCCAAAGAATTCTTTAAATTTTTTAACAACACAAATAAATAACAAAGTACACAAAAACAGTCCTATAAAAAGCTTTGTAACAAAATAATTAGAGAGTAATAATGGTCCATATACTATGTCAGAAGATCTTAAAAGAATGGACAAAATGTTTACTCAAACAAAAGGACAGATTTTTCTTTTTAATGAACAAAAAGAAACCAGTAGTTTCAAATTATAAGTGAATCAAATTATCATTTATAATGGAATAGATAATTTTAGAAATTACTTTTCTCCCTATTTTCTATTATTTCTCTCTCTGTTTCTCTGTCTCTGATACATATAGATATATAGACATATATATATATATATGTATGAAAATGAGCAACTGAAATGAATATACACTACTCATAAGAAGTACAAATGGTCAATAAATAAATAAATGAAAAAATACTCAACATAGCTCGTGGATTAAAGCACCTGCTTAGGCAGAGCACGGGGGCTGGGCTCCGATCCCCAGCATGCCGTGCCAATGACCCCCAGGGTGCGCTGAGACAGTGATTGAGATTGGGTGTGGTGGTGCGTGTCTATAGTCCCAGTGCTTGGGAGGCTGAAAATTATGAGTCCAATCTACATAGTGAGACCCTGTAGACCTTATAATATCTTCAACATTTCTGGACAGAAATGCAAGTTAAAACAGCACTGAGATTCCCTCTTATTCCAGAACTGATAGCTATCACCAAAACAACTCACATGATAAATTCTGGCAAAGCTGTAGGGAAAAAGGCAGCTTTCTACATTGCTGGTGGGAATGTGTGCAGACCCATGTCTATAGCAGCCCAATTCACAATAGCTAAATCTTGGAAGAGACCCATATGTCCATCAACAGATGAGTGGATAAAGAAAATGCAGCGTTCACAGTGGTGTACTGGCGTTCCTTTATTCATAAGGAAGGATAAACTGGAGTCAAAGGTAGGAAAACAAATGCACCTCGACGACATAATCTTAAGTGAAATAAATCAGACACACAAACTTCAGGATCACATGATTTTTCTAATATAGGAGAAACCCAAGATATAAATAAAGAGCAAAAGAAAAGACAGAAAGTAGGGAAAGAGAGAGACAGCTCTTTTTTAAAATAGGAAGGGGATAACGAGATGGAGGGAAGGAAACGAGGAAAAGGAATAAAACAATAATGAACAGGTATTATGTACATATATACCAACTCCCCACAGGAATGGAATCATTCTATGCTGCAAATGTACTAATAAAAATTAAAAAAATCTTTATGAAAAAATAATATATTA